GAGCACCATTGGTCATATGGGAAATTATCTATTCTAGGAGCAACATTAGGATCATAGCCTAAACAAGGTGCATAATGCATGTCCATAATACATATTTATCTATGCAAAAAAGATAACAATAAATCTAAAAATTAGATTAGCATAAAAGATAACTTGGATCTTTAATTCAAGATGGATAGATCTTAAATCAAAGAGCACCAAACTCTGATACCAATTGAAAGCACCCTAATGCCACTAGGAAAGAACCCTAGAGGGGGGTGAATAAGGTTTATGCTAATCTAATCCGATTTAAGTCAAACTAAAAACTTATTAACAATTATCCTAGCAAATGAGATATGAGCAATATATGTGCAATGATATATAAATTAACACAAGGGTAAAATAAACAATAAACAAACAAGAGTGATAGTGAGCAATAAATAATGCAAACACACAATATGATCACGGAGTTCGGACTTTCCGTCCTACTCTCCGCTCCCCGCTCTCAGGAAGAAATCCACTATCACACCGGGTTTTCAACGATCACCCAAAAACATTTACACTACACAATATCGGTTTCTAACGCTTACCGATCAACGTTCACAATCTCATAATGTAACTACACTAACTACCACCTCAAGTGTTGGTCTCTAGCCCGTGTCTCCCTCAAGTGTTAGGAATTACAACATCTCTCTAGGTATTACCACCTACCCCACTCCTCTTAGGACGACCCCGTCTCTCACCACACACTCCTTTTAGTGTAATAGTATATTACAAAGTGAATCCTCATAATTAAGCACACTAACAACAAATGATTGTTCACTAAATAAGGTGAAAACTCAATTAAGCACAACTCAAAGTTATAATCTCTCACAACCCCAATTATACTATGTATAAAAATACTAAAAGCTCAAGTGGGTGTGTGTAACAATGAGATTCAATAAATCAAAACTAAACTCAAATAAATTCTAGCTTATGAAAATGAAAATCAAACATATAAAATAGCTAGATTGAGTTTAGAAAAACTTCTCTATATGATGACAAGAGAGAGGGAGAAGAGTTAAATGCTCAAACACCAATAGATGATCTCCTCTAGCTCTTGTGAAATTTTCTTCATAAATCGAAACTTAAAAATACTTAAAAACTTCTTAAACAAACTCAAACCAAAACTTAAACCCCTGTTAAAATACTCTTAATCTTGTTTAAAATATTTTTTTTGTTACCTCAGAAGTATGAGGGCATGGTGTATATATAGGCTCATGAAACAACCCCGAAAACCAATAAAAACACAAGAAAAATCACAAAAAGAAAAAATCTGGAAAACTAGCTGTTATATGCTAAAAAAAGGCCATCAGTCAACTGACTACAGTGCGTCGGTCGACTGATGAAATCGACAGTTCCAGATTTAGCAGATTCTGGAATTTTGCGTATCTGATTTTATAAAATCAATTAAAAATAGTAAATCAACTCCAAAAATTATGCAATTTTTAGATAAGTTTCTAAACATGTTGTAGAAAGAATTTAATGAATATCACTTCCTATTTGAGAGAAATAAATTATTTAGTAAACAACTTAAAAGCTAAAAATCTAAAAATAGTACAAAACTAGCCGTTATGAGCTTATCAGTCGACTAATCAGTCGACCGATGACCTCATCAGTTAACAGATCAGTCAACTGAAAAGAATCAGTAGCTTTTTAATAATTCCAGGTGTTTTTATCAGTCGACTGAACACATGTATCAGTCGACTGACAACACTGTATTAGCCTGATTTGAATAGTAAAAACCAACTTTGAAGTGCCTTAAAAAATAGCAAATAAATTCCAAAAAATGTAAAACTTTGGAAAATCATTGTAAACATGTAAATGAACATGTTACAAAATGAATTTTTGGAATTTCACTTCACAATATGAAAACTTGTTATTTTACAAAAATGTTCAAAACATGCAAACTTAATATACTTGAAATGTAATGTTTTGACATAAACCATGTTTTGAAACTTTGTAAAATAATTTTATAGACTTAATAAACTATGTATAAAATGATATTAAAGTCTATAAACTAATAAAATAATATTTTACCAAAAACACCTATATTTTGATAAAATCAACAAATATGTGTGTGTGAATAATATGAGCTTAAAGTATTAACACACAAGTATAAACCTATACTATAAATACTATAAACTATATACCCAAGCTTGAAGGTCTTCAACATAGCTCGACTTAGTAAACTTACGGATGAAGCTTAAACTTGAATCTTTAAATTGAATTGTATTGCTTCACTCCACTATTTCCGTCAACCTCCATTTGATATGATTGTTATGGCGCAATTCCATCCAACATCCAACTTATTGTTTGCCTAGAATAGATACAAAATATAAACACTAGACGAATAATATTAGATATAAATTATTTGTAAATCATCATCAAAATAAAAGGACCCAATAATCTCCCCCTTTTTGATGATGACAAACAATTTACAAAAAGATATACATGCATGAAAGAAAAAGAATATACAAATTATAATTATCATGCATATAAACAAGAAATACATACTCACAATGTTTCTCCCCCTTTGACAACATCAAAAAGGAGAAACCAAAAGAATGAAGAGAGCGAAAGCTCCCCCTACAAATAAGCACTGTGAGTATAAAAATAAATATAGGAAAAAGCTTCCCCTATCAAAATTCTTTATGGAATATATGAAATAAAGTATAAGGCAAACATGTGAGCAAGCATAAACATGCTAAAATTCACTCACATTCAAAAAAGTAATAAGAAGACAATTAGATATGTCATTATGAAATAGTGTCTCATGGCAAAAACCTATAAACTATGTATAAAATAGATTTATAAAAACAATTGAAAGAAAAACATGAGAATCATGAAAAAAAATTTCAAATAAAAACAAATCACTCAAATGAAATCATAAATCAAAAATTAAACCCACAACGATGTTTGATCAATAAAGGAAGTTTTCTTTGGAGAACTTGATCAAACCACATAAAGAATACATTATAAAGCACACATAGATGATCCATAAGTATAAACACATAAATATCATCATATAAGTGAATTACAATAAATTCAAAAGCACAAATCAAAACAAACTTTTCATAGTTCAAATTAAGATTTCAAAACATACTAGAATCATGAACTCACTACTGCAAAGGGGACTATTGGCGACGGACAAATCCGTCACAAAAAGTCCAAAATCCGTCGCTAAAAGTTTTAGCGACGGAAAAAAAGAAATTCCGTCGCTAAAAAGCCGTCACTATTATAAGGGTAGGTAAATCTACCTTTAGCGACGGCAAATCCGTCGCTAAATATCAGCGACGGTTATATAGCGACGGAAAATCCGTCGTTTATGTATAATTTTTTGACGACGGTATTTTCCGTCGCTATACACTTAACCGTCGCTATAATTTTTGGCGACGGAAAATCCGTCGCTATATTCTATACTTTTTGGCGACGGCAGATTCTGTCGCTATACATTTTCCCGTCGCCAATATTTATAGCGACGGAAAATCCGTCGCCGAAAGCTGTATTAGTGCATGTCTGGCGTGTCAGTTTTCCGTCGCTATAAGTTCTTTTAGCGACAGAATATCCGTCGCTAAAAGTCATCTGAAATTTTTTAATTTTTTTTTTGAAAATTAGAAATTCCTGTACAATATATTTCACAACAATAACATGTACAATAAATTTACACAACACAAGCACATATAACACATATTTCACGCATATATAACAATTATTTCACTAAAAACATAATAAATATCCCAACATTAGAAATGTTTATACAGCACACCCATTGTTTTTAATGTTAAAACAAATAAACTCAGTCCCGATCATCATCATCCTCATCACCAACTCCACCTTGTCGAGAAGTCCCAGCCTAAAAATATAAATAAAACGTTATAGAGCAATACGTACATCATCAAAAACTGAATTTTACAGTAAAGTAACAAATTATAAAATAATAAGGCATGACATGCAAGTATAGCAATAATAGAGTATCATGGCATATTCTTACATGTTATATGATTCAGAGAGAGTATCATGGCATATATTTATGTATTATACGCAAGCACGCACATGTTTTTAACAACGCACGCACACACTCTAACCTCACCCCCCCACCCCCTCCCCCTCCATCATCATCACCACCACCACCACCACCACGACGAAAACACCCACCAACCAACAACATAACCAACGACCCTACACACGAACGCCCCACAACAAAACAAAATAACAACTAACTAACCAACTCACTATCCAATACAACCATCGCTACGCATGCACGCACCATCAACACCACCATCACATAAAAACATTAAGTATATAATTTTAGTTGTGTTTGGGAGAGAGATATAGTTTGTGTGTAACAGTTTGTGTGATATCATTTAGTCACATGGCATACTCGTAACTAAGTAAGAATTTTATATTTAATTCATTTAATTAAAAAAGAAATATATATATATTACCTGATCCGCCAAAAATCGTCTCCTATATGCCTCTTGAGAATCAGAAGGCAGAGTCGATATGAACTGGGCGAATTCCAGCTCCCTCTGCTCCCGGCGCCTCCGTTCTTCCTCCGCCATCTGGATTAGCTCCGACTCCCGACGCGACTGCCAATCTTCCATCGCTTTCATCCGCTGCTCCATAGTCGGGTCTTGAGAAGAACTGCATCCTGGTGGAGCTGCAGACTCGTAGGTGCTACTGGACTCGTATGGCCGATGTTCGGATCCTCTCCACCTGTATCTGTTCTTCCTACTCGGTCCAATGACCGTCTCAATGATGCTATCCTCCTCCTCTCTACTTAATCGGGTCGGAATGTTAGAATCGACCTGAGTCTGTGATAATTGCTCCTGCACCTTAGCATGTAATTTCTCTTGTGATATACCAAAACAACCAGGTCAATTCTAACACATTTAAAATGCATTGTTATAAAAATTAAATATACAAATTAACTGCTACTTACAGCCAGATCCCGGTTCTGCGCTTTCTTCACTTCATCGGCGTAATTTGGATTCCAACCAGTCAGAATACGATCAGCAAAATGCCCGAGTTCTCCCCTTCCCTATTTTATTCACATATATCATTAACTCATAACACATAAATTATACTCAAATTGATAACCTAAGAGCTAATATATTATATACCTCAAGCGCCAATTGATGATAATGCTGGCTGAAGGACCTGGAGCCCCCGTGATGCTCGTAACTGCGGGGCGCATTGCGGTTCCTCCTTGCTGTTTCAGCTTGATCCTGCAAAACAATGTTAAAAAGATATAATATAGAATTTCAAACAATAAACGGAAATATATACTTCAATAATACCTGAATTTCGGCCGTGTCCCAATAATCGCAAAGTGCAAAAAAATCTACTCCATCTACGCGCTCGTCAAGATGCCAGTAACGCTCCCAATCTTCTGTTCTTTGAATAAAATATTTTTTCTTTAGCTCAAACCACCACCTCTGGCATAAGCGTAATCGTCAAGAAAGAAAAATCGCTTCAGCATACAATGAAAAAAGAGATACAAATCAGTGTGTTAAACAAAATAATAAAATGACTAATAATTATGAGAATTAAAATAAATGACTCACACATATATATCTCTAACAAGCCACCAGCGCATCAATCCGCTGCGACTTCCACGTCAAAAATATGTTGAAGAAATCATGTCTCCTGGCTAAAGCGGCGAGGAAATTGTTGAAGGAGTTAGCAAATAGCCCGACAGGCACGCCGTTCTCCCATCGGATCACGGCCCTCCGATGAATATCTGGGATGAGGTTCTGTGTCTTGGTACCACTGCGGCCGCGCCTAGTAGGTCGCTCGGTACCTACGAAAAAATGAAATTCAGGCGAAATATAAATCAATCAATATCGATAATACAAATTAAAATATTAACATATAAACTATAAAAATCTATACACACCTTTCAATTCGAGGCATCTACGCCTTGCTTGTTCATACCTCTGCTGTGCGATAAGTCGCAAATCATGATAAGCATCCCAATCCTCCTTCACCTTGGCCGGGTCGTGGGCTCGCTGATCCGGAATAGAATCCGGCGGTAGTGGCGCAGCTTCTACAGCTGCGCTATATGGCTCATATCGGCGCTCCTCCAATACATCTGCAGCCTGAGGAGGCGACGGCGGCATCTCTGCATGCTGGGCAGGATCAACGAGTGTCTCCGCATCAGGTGGAGCATCTCCTCGTCCTGTGTCCTGTGGCGGCCCGTCATGTGTAGCAGCGATGCGGCCTGCGTAGGAAATGTGAAAAAATAATGTTAGGCTCGTATTAATAGTTTATAGAAATGTACAGATATAATAAATAAATAAAAATACCTGACGTAGAGCCATGTGCGTCGCCTCCAGAATGTCTACCAATAAGTCTCTCAAGCGCTCTCTTACGTAATCCTTTTGTCATCTATACTTTGAAAACATAATGAGTACCCAACAAAACTATAATACATGACAAAAACTGATACATGATAACCAGTCAAACAGATAATATAAAGGCAATACTATAATACATGACAAAAACTGATACATGATAACCAGTCAAACAGATAATATAAAGGCAATACTATAATACATGACACAAACTGATACATGTCCTTATGATGATGTTGAGGCTCTACTCTGCGACCGTGTGCGGTTAGCCTGCGACCGTGTGCGTGCCGACAAAAGGACTGTCCTTATAGTTTTATCGACTCTACCGTGGACTCGTTTTTTGACTTTACGCCTTGGCTCACATATAATCGCAGGTACATCAGGGCGCGCCAGTGTAATTTCATCCACCAGATTATTTTGTGTCAAGGAAAACTCGGCAACTGTTTCGTCGGCCAAGATAACATCTTCGTGATCTTCGTCAGACACGGCTTCATAAATGTAGGATCTAGGCAGATTCTTAAGGACAACCCATTCGTCATTTTTCATTATATCTTTGACATAAAAGCATTGTTTGGCGTGAGTAGCTAACATGTACTTTTTAGTCTGATATATTTCCTTGTTAAGATTAACGAGTGTGTAACCGTAGTCATCCTTCGCCTTTTTCAGCTCACATCAACGAACCTTAAACATCACATGTCTGACTTCGTTATTAATCCCATAGAAAATCTCCACAATGTCTTCTACCTGACCGTAGCAATAGATTTCACCTTGTATCGGATTTAGATCTTTTGAACTAGCGTATGACAGTTGCGAGAAGGAGCAGAACACACCGCTATTTTGCGTTTATCGTCTCTCTTTGAAACCGATGGTGTTAAACCTAAAGCCGTTGATACAGTAGCCTCCATAACGCTTAACCACGTTAGAAGGACCTCTGGCATATAAACATATTTTCTCAGACAGGTTAACCCCATTCGTAATACGTCGGTCAACCTTTAAGAAAAGAAACAAATAGTTTAAATATCTGTTGGCAGGCACATATTTGATATACGAATCAGAAATGTAAATAAATCTTACTTCACCCTTCAGCCATGCAGGGAATTGTCTAGAGTGTGTGTCCATAACTCTTTTGTTTTTTGTTCTGCATTTAAGAATAGTCTAGACATATCGGATGTGAAGCCTAGAATAAAATCATTTATAACAGTTAAATAGAGATAGTTATTGTGATGTGATATGATCTGATTCAAACAGTTAAATACTTACGCCGCGTATATGTTAAATGTGGTATCATTGCTCGAGATATATGTGTGGGCTTGATCTAGCTCCATTCTGGAGAATCTAGTGTCCTCCCCACGATCATTATAGAATATTTCGTCAATTATTCGTTAGGGACGGTTGAGCCTTATCTCCACACCCCGCAAGTAACAAGAGATGAAATTCAAACTCTCATTACTTATATAGTTCTCTGCTATCGATCCTTCAGGACGTGCACGATTATGCATCAAATGTTTCATGAAACCCAAATACCTACAAGCATATAGTTTCATGATTTGTGACAAAATAAAACTGAGTAACGTAATTTAACAAATATTAATTGAGCATTATAATAATAAATACCTCTCCACATGGTACATCTAGCGATATTGAACTGGTCCTGCGATGCAGGCTTCATATGCTAAATGTATTGTGAGATGCACCATGACCGTAAAGAACGAGGGTGGAAATAGAATTTCCATTTTACACAGTGTATTGGCTACACGTCCCTCTAATTCTTCAAACTCCCTGACATCAATCACCTTGGAGCACAACTGCTTGAAGAAACCGCAATATTCTATTACCACCATCGCGAGTTCCTTCTCAGCATGTCGCAACGCAACCGGGAGAAGTTGATGCAATAGAATATGATGGTCATGTGTCTTGAGTCCCAAAATTTTCCTGTCCTCAATATGCACATTTGCTGAAATGTTTGAAGCATAACCATCCGGTGTCTTCACGGACTTTAGAAATAAACACATATTATGGATCTCATCCTTCGACAGTGTGACACGGGAGGCTGGGAGTACAAACTTTCCGTCACCCTTATCTATAGCTTGCAGTTCGGGACGGATGTTCAATTCTGCTAGGTCTCGACGTGCCCTTAAGTCATCTTTTGATTTTTTTCCCGTCCTGCAACAAAGTGTTCAAGAGATTCTCGCATATGTTCTTCTCGATGTGCATGACATCCAAGTTGTGACGTATTTTTAAACTTCTCCAATATGGCAATTGATAAAATATGCTGAATTTTGACCATCCATGCGGAAGTTCAGTACCCTTAGAGACACGCACATGCGATTGGACAGTGCGAGGTTTATTTCTCATCCTTGTTTGCTTACCCTTTCCCCTTCCCTTCCAATTTTGCTTCAATATTTTTCTCCTAACCCCAAATGGATTTTCTTTGTTGAATCTTTTCTTTCCAAATATTTTTTTAGGTAGAGGATGTAGAAGCTCAAATATTTCTTCCCCGGTCAGCCTTGGTGGTGCCGGTCTGTTTTCTGGATTGCCGTCGAACTTTCCTACTAACTTTCTGAACTTGTGCCCTGTAGGTAACCATCTTCTGTGTTGCCAATAACAGAACTTACGGCTGTATTTCAGGAACTTTCCCTCATAATCTGACATGCAAACCGGACAAGCAATCTGACCCTTCGTCGACCATCCAGACAAGTTAGCATATGCTGGAAAGTCATTAATTGTCCACATGACCATTGCACGCATACAGAAAGCCTCCTTACCATAAGCATCGTAAGTGCTGACACCTTCATCCCAGAGAAGCTTCAAGTCGTCAATTAATGGTTGAAGGAAAACATCAATGTCATTTCCAGGAGAATATCTTCCAGGGATCAAGAGTGACAGTATCATGTATGGCTGCTTCATGCACATCGACGGCGGCAGGTTGTACGGTGTGAGCAACACTGGCCAGGTAGACCAAGCAGAGCTCATTACTCCAAACGGATTAAATCCGTCGCTAGCAAGCCCCAGCCTAATATTCCGAGACTCCTTACCAAAGTCAGGGTATATACGATCGATGTGCTTCCATGCCTCACCATCAGCAGGATGTCTCAATTTCCCGTCCTCTTTACGATCGGTCGAATGCCATCGCATATTCTCAGCCAGCTCGGCAGACATATAAAACCTCTGCAGCCTAGGAATAATTGGAAAATATCGGAGAACCTTCACAGGGATTCTGCTCTGTTTATTGGATGATATGCCTTCAGATGTGCCCGTATGTTCTTTCCAGCGTGATACATGACACGTCGGACATTCCTCTAGACCTTCATTACCCTTATTGTACAAGATGCAGTCATTAGGACAGGCGTCTATCTTTTTGTAATCAAGACCCAGGGTATCAACAATCTTGTGAGCTTCATAATAAGTTGCGGGGATGCTCTTCTCGCTACCTGGAATGACTTTCCTGAGCAAGTCTAATAACATCTCGAAATGTGTAACAGCCATCCCTCTGAGTGTTTGGATATGAAGAAGCCTCAGCATAAAAGAAAGCCTTGTGAACTCGGTGCAACCCTCGTATAACGGTGACTCGTTTTTTTCAACAAGTCTCATCAATCGGGCTACATCTTGAAACATATCAGTAGTGTTAACATCACTCGAAGACGGCACGGTAAGAATATCTTCCAACATATCAGTTGTGTCAATTGTCGGATTGTCGACATCAGTAAACTCTTCCTCTAATTGCATCACCGGGACGCCTTCACCGTGATGACTCCAAAATACATAAGAGCTATCAAATCCATTGATTGACAGATGGAAACTTACGTCACTCCTAGTGAGCATTTTATCATTCCTACAATTCTTACAAGGACAAAAAATCAACCCGCTGAGTGACCGTAGAGGGTTGGTGTCAGAGTAGGCTAAGAAAGCTTCTATCCCATCCTTGTATCGAGTGTCTAGATGCCTTCGATCACGTGGTATGCCCATGAACGATTTGTCAGGAATTGTCCGCATCTAGAATTTAAAAATTAATGGAAGTGAGCATATCCCT